TTGGGAGGAAAAGGGGGCAGCCTGAGAAAGCCCCAGGCCCATTCCACTCCCAGCTTCACCCAGCACTGGAGCTGGGCAGAGACGCAAAACCCTGTCTGCTCTTGGGATTCCAGACCTCCCTAGGGCTCCCATCTGACCTCAGGCCTCTGCGTCATTGAATGTCACCGAGGTGGGTGAGGCAGGGAAGGGGTAAGTATGGGAGGGGACTAGGCGACTGACTCTGCTCCTCTCCCCAGGAAGGATCTAGGGCAGAGGAAAACACACCTCCCAGTGTCCCCAACCCCAGCTGTAGCCTCTTCCCCCTCAAGCACCCATCCCCTCCACCACGCCCTACTGGTTCTGAACCCCTTCCCTATATAGGAGTGTCACACCGCCATAACCACCACCACAACCACCCCATCCTCCTAGCACTTCCCCATCGAGACAACCTGTGTCACTGGCTCAGATGCAGATCTGCTTACCCCAGAACATGTGCCCCCTCCCAAGCCACACTGTGCACGAAGCAGGTGCAGGAGAAGGGCTGTGCCCCAGGCACATGGGCTCCCCCTTTCCCAGCCCCTCACAGGGGCCTGGCTCAGTCTTCTCAGCTCCGGGGATCAGCCTTGGTGGGTATGGAGTGGGGGGCAGGGAGGTGCCCTCCCCCTCCCCCAGGGAAGCCACTGAAGAATGTTTACATGCCAAACAGAATGTAACACCCTCCCCACCTCTTCCCAGTCACTGCATGGCCTCTGTCCACCCTGCACCTGTCCACCCCCACCCCCAACACCCTGGAAGCCGCTGTCATGATTAGATCGGGTCTTGGAAGGGAAGTAGCCATCACACCATTAAAAAGCCTGTGGACCTTTCGTTCTGTTGGCCTGGACTTTTCTTCCTTTGGGGAAGAAGGCAAAGCCCAGGTCTGGGGGTGGGCAGGGGAGAAGAGTGCAAGTTGGTGGGCAAGTGGGGATTGACTGTCATAGAGGCAGATTGTCTCTACAGAGATGGAAACTGAAGCTTACAGGACAGATACAGGCTCAAATTGGGTGAAGAGGGCTACCCTCTGTCTCCAACAGCAAAGCCTGCATCCTGTCAGCTTCCCAGGCTGTCTCTCCAAGATCCAGGATACTTGAGTCTAGCTTTATGCCGAGGGAGAGAGGAAGGAGTTTCATTGCCCCAAAGTTAACAGAGACAAGTGTTTGGTAAATCATAAAGCTAAGCAGCTCACAGGCAAAGAGAAACAATGGTCATTATTCTAGCCACATCTACAGAAATTATAAATGAATGTAGCCTATGACCTACCACCTCCGCTTCTAGAAACATAGCCTATAGATAGATGGCCATGTAAACTTGCCAAATTCCATGTGTTCAAAGTTACTCATTGCAGTATTCTGCATGAAACCCCACAAAACCTCAGCTGCGATCTCACACTCAAAATGTCTGGAAATGAGAGCTTTTTTATTAGATTGGCACAAGTTCATCTGGTATCAAGACTTAACAATACCATTTAAAGTCATTATTAATTCCACTTATCATTTATGTTTACAATGGCAATATCGATGTTTTTGATAATGGGGTACTGCCTTAGATCCTATTAGAGTATTTTTTTTTAAAGATTTTATTCATTTATTCATGAGAGACACACACAGAGAGAGAGAGAGGCAGAGACACAGGCAGAGGGAGAAGCAGGCTCCATGCAAGAAGCCCGACGTGGGACTTGATCCCGGATCTCCAGGATCATGCCCTGGGCCTAAGGCAGGCACTAAACTGCTGAGCCACCCAGGGATCCCTATTAGAGTATTCCATAATATATGGAATGATGTTGGAAAGATATTGGTGTTCGAAGCTGACAGCCAAGAAAGAATTCTTGAGATGTTTTTGGTACAAAAAGGTGGTGGTTTTATTAAAGCACAGGGACAGAACCCGTGGGCAGAAGGAGCTGCACCAGGGTCATGAAGAGTGACCCATTATATACTTTCAAATTGGGAGGGGGTTAGGGAGAGCATAAGTCTCTAAAGAATTTTGGAAGCAAGGTTTCCAGGACCTTGAGGGGGCTAGTTGTTGTTAGGAAAAGGTCATTTATTACCATCTAATAAAATCTGAGTCCTGAGACCCTTTAGATGTATATTGGCAGGTCATATGCTTGGGGGATGATTGCCAACATGTATCTGGGGCGGTAGATATAGAGAAAGTTTCCAAAGGAATTGTTTTATGTTAAAGGAGGCTTATAGGATTCTGGTGCCAAGCTAAGATTGCTTTTGCCCTTAGCAAGGTATTAACATTGAGGCAGTAGGGGAATGTCATTCTGCCTTTTTAAGGACTTGTGAGTGGGCTGTAAGTAGAAGGGAAATTTAATTTTTCTTTTGCTTTTGTTTCTAACATTGTGGAATGTGTACTAAGTATAATTATGTAATTATATATATATGTAATTTAAAAAATTTTTTTTTAAAAATCTGAATTCCAAAAGAAATCTAATCCCAATGGTTGGATAAGAGACAGTGTACCTATAAAAGCAAAAGTTCAGGAGCACTGGGCTGGCTCAGTCAGTAGAACATGCAACTTCTGATCTTGGGGTCTTGAGTTCAGGCCTCAATGTTGGGCATGGAGCCTACCTTTTAAAAAGTTCAGAAGGAATCTAAATGCCCACTAATTGGGGCTGACTAGTACCGTATGGCCCCCCATACAATGGGGATCCTATCAGTGGGTACTGTGAGGTTCCAGGGTGAAGGAGGTATATATACTTTGTATACACTTAAGGACTGGTCTCCAAGACTAAGAATACATAAAAGAGCCATGGATATAATGGGCAGCTATTTAGATGAGTGAGAGGTCTCTGGTTGCTTCAGAGAGGAAGGCTGAGGGGGAAGGGAGGCTTTCCTTCAGGACACTTGCTGTACCTTTTGCAGTTTGGACCCTTGTCCACCAAGTGCAAAATTTTCACCAAGGCAACACATAAACAATTTCCATCCCAGGACATGCTCCTGGCTGTGCCTGGGATCAAAGGTAAAAGAGTCATGGCTCTAAGTTCTGCTTTCCCTCTGAGAATACCACAGGTGCAGCTCTGACATCCCAGAGCCTGTGTAACTGTCTTCTGTCCCCATACTTGCCTCCCGGGATCCCCTTTCTTCTGACTTGCATTTCTGGGGGCTCTAGGTCCTAACTGACCAGATTTCAGTGTGGCCTCCACATGCTTTCACCTTCCTTCATGTTTAAAAATGTAAAAAGCAGGGGCGTCTGAATGGTGCAGTCGATTAAGTGGCTGACTCTTGGTTTCCACTCAGGTCATGATCTCAGGGCCCTGATCCTAGGGTCTCGAGCTCAAGCACCAAGCTGGACTCTGCGCTCAGAGGGGAGTCTGCTTAAGACTCTCTCTCTCCCTCTGCCCCTCCTACCCACCCCACCCCACTCTACATGTGCTCTTTCTCAAATAATTAATTTTTTAAAAAGTCAAAAGCAGATCACATTTACAGTATAAAGGCAAATGTTAACAGCATATAAGAGAAAACAAAAGGGATGCCTGGGTGGCTCAGTGATTGAGCATCTGCCTTCAGCTCAGTCATGATCCCAGGGTCCCAGGATCAAGTCCCACATTAGGCTCCCTGCATGGAGCCTGCTTCTCCCTCTGCCTGTGTCTCTGCCTCTCTCTCTCTCTCTCTCTGAATAAATAAATAAATCTTAAAAAACAAACAAACAAACAAACAAAAAAGACCTGGGCCAGAGGCAGGGGTCCTGGTCCTCTCTTCCACTGGGCTGCTGTGCCACTGTGTGCCCCCAGCAAGCACTCCCTCCCCACCCCCATTTCCTTAGTTGTTCAAAGTGAGAGCTAGTTTAAATTAGTGGCTTTCAAACTTTTTTTTAGGTTAACAAGTCTATTTGCTTAGACATCTGGGGCCCTTGGAAAAAAAAAATTTGACAATCTCCCAGCTCTGCCAATTCAGAGTTTGGAGAAGCAGATCAGAATAAACCTGATATTGCCAGTCTCTGCTGTGCTTTTGTGGCAGAGGCCATGAATGAGAATTCAATGTGAAGGTCAGACAAACCCTGAGTCTTAGGCATTGCAGCTACCTATGGCAGGACCTTGGCAAAACCTCTTTCCCTACTCACCAATCCCCCAAGGGGAAGCTCTGAAAATAGGGGCAGGGGGCCGGCAGGAGGGACTATGTGCATGAAAAATGGGATAGTGATGGGTCTGGGATCCCCCAGATTGACCAGTCTGCCCAGTACTGCTCCAGGTGTGTCTCAGGGCAGGGCATAAGCTTCAGGTGGGCGCCTAGGGGTATACAGAAGCTTTGTGCCTGAGCAGAAAGAACTCTTCACCTGGTAAGGACCTGGCCCTCAGTCTTATTTTTTTTCTCTTTTTTTTTAAAGATTTATTTGCGATAGAGCAACTGAGGGGAGGGGTAGAGGGAGAGAAGCAGACTCCCTGCTGTTATGACCCATGAGATCAGGACCTAAGCCAAAATTATCAGTTGGATGCTTAACCAACTGAGCTACCCAGGAGCCCCCGGCCCTCAGCCTTGAATCCTGAGGGCCCAGCCAATCTGTGGCTTCATTAGGAAAGGCTGACCTAAATCTTAATAAGACAAAGGGCATGCCAGGAAGAGTTGTCTCATGCCCCAGAGGGCTCCTCCTCTTAGGGACTCCTGGAGCTTTGTTGATCAAGGGGCTAGGGGAGCACTTCCTGCACACCCAGCTACCCCATCATGGCAACCCAAGGCTACCCCACTTGATCTCTGAGCACTGTATCTAAGTCCCAGAGCCACAGAGTCATGACCTCTGAATAGATGGCAGCCCTATCCCCAGGCTCTGAGCCAAACAGGCAGGGATCCCTGAAGACCTGATGGCCAGGAAGGGCCCAGTCCTGGCTTAGTTAAGCCTGAGGGCTGGATTCTGACTGCAGGCTCTCTGCTCCTCAGTTAACTGCTCCTACCTCCAGAGTCCAAGGGTCCAAGCAATGGATCGGCTGTGCTGCATTGAGCACTACAGAGGAAACCGACACTGAGAATTGTTGGTGGGTGGGTGGCATGAGATTCGAGGAGCTACTGGACCAGGTGGACGGCTTTGGGCCCTTCCAAGTGTGGAACGTGGCCCTGATGGCCTTGCCCCGAGTGCTGCTGCCCATGCACTTCCTCCTGCCTATCTTCCTGGCTGCTGTACCTGCCCACCACTGTGCCCTGCCTGGTGCCCCTGTCAACTTCAGCCACCAGGACGCATGGCCCACCTGCCCTAGGAGCCTGATGGCACCCTCAGCTCCTGCCTCTGCTTCACCCACTCCCAGGCCCTCCCCAACACCATGTTTGGGGGAGTGGGTTAGAGCCCTGGGCAGCTGGAGGGTGAGCCTTCCACAGGGCCCTGCCCTCAGGTCTAGGAGTATGACCGCTTGGAGTTCTCCACCATTGCAACTGAGGTGCCCGAAGTGGGGAGGCTGGGGGACACGTGAGTGGGATGAGCCTGCCACTGCCTTGGGTGATTACTATGTGGGCATTAGACACATATTACCTTAGTTTCCCAAGTCTCAGTTTACCTATCTGTAGATGAGATCTATGAATTTTTTTTTTTTTTTTATGATAGTCACAGAGAGAGAGAGAGGCAGAGACACAGGCAGAGGGAGAAGCAGGCTCCATGCACCGGGAGCCCGACGTGGGATTCGATCCCGAGTCTCCAGGATCGCGCCCTGGGCCAAAGGCAGGCGCCAAACCACTGCGCCACCCAGGGATCCCGAGATCTATGAATTTAAAGCACTGAGCCTAGTTCCTGGCTTGTATTAAGGAGCCCATACATGGGAGCTGCTATTATCAATTGGGAGGTGATTAAGGCAGATAAGGGCCAAGACAGTTCCAGGGAGCCGGGGAGAGAGTAGTGAAGGGTGCTTCTACAGTAGTAGTAGGAGAAACAATATAGGTCTCCTTCTTTCTCTTCTTTTTGGCCCTAGGTCTGGGATTTATATAATCCATCTAGAAGTGAATGCAGATGGGGGCAGAATCTGGAGAGGAGCAGACCCATTATCAAAGTCAAGGAAGAAGCTGAAGCTGCAGGTTTGGGGAGGGGCAAAGTGTCTTACCCAAGTTGGGATGAATAGATGAGGGTCTGACATGGAGGTACCAGGATGGGACCGTTGACTTCAGAAGGCCCCAGAGTCTGCAGAGGAATGGTTGGTGCTAGCTGGAAAGGGCCTGTGCTGATGGGAGGCCCCTCTCTGTTTATTCCTGCAGTGGGACCTCGTGTGCGAGCAGAAAGACCTGAACAGAGCCACTTCCACTTTTTTTTTTTTGCTTGTGTGCTGGTGGGGGCCGTGGCCTTTGGATACCTGTCTGATGGGTGGGGTGCAGTGGGGGTGCCAACAAGGGAGAGGGATGGGGAACCCTCTCCCACTAGTTGGGTTCTGGGCTTCATCTACCTCTGTCGTGGGACTCCCTTCTATAGGGAGCTGACCCTGCATGACCCCTGTACAGGTTTGGGCAGCACTGTCTGTTGCTGGTGGCCTACGTGAGTTCCCTGGTGCTAGGCCTGGCATCTACAGCCTTGGTCAGCTACATCATGTTTGTCATCACCTGCAGCGTCACTGGCATGGCTCTGGCTGGCTTCACCATCATCGTGATGCTACTGGGTGAGACAGGTAAAGGACGGGCAGGGCCTAGAAGCCTGGAAGCAGGCAGTTGTCAGGGGTGAGACTGAACCCATCTGGTCCTTGCTAACTATCTCTGGCCCCTGCCCTGAGCCCAGAAATGGAATGGCTGGACGTGGGACACCGCACTGAGGCAGGTGTCCTGGACAGCATCTTCTGGACAAGGGATGTGATGCGTGATGCTGTTGGCACTGGTCAGGTACCTGATACGGGACTGGTAGATGGAGGGAGCCAGACACAGAATTAATCAGAGGCTGAGGTTTGAATACAGAAATGTCCTCATATTTGAGAGATGAAAAGAAAGTCAGTGACTGAGAAATGGGAAAAGAGAGAGTGAACGACCAAAGAAGATGACATTGGACATGAGAAGCAGAGAAATAGAGAACATAGAAACAGTAGGGAGACAAAGACAGAATCAGACAGAGAGGGAGGGGCAGCCCGGGTGGTTCAGTGGTTTAGCGCTTCCTTCAGCCCAGGGCCTGATCCTGGAGACCCGGGGTGGAGTCCCACGTCGGGCTTCCTGCATGGAGCCTGCTTCTCCCTCTTCCTGTGTCTCTGGCCTCTCTCTCTCTCTCTCTCTCTCTCTCTCTGTGTGTGTGTGTGTCTCTCTCTGTATCTCTTATTAATAAATAAATAAAACCTTAAAAAAAAAAAAAGATAGGGAAAGTGACAGAGACCAGGACTGAAAGGTGGATTCAGAGGGATGGAGATGGTCGAAGGAATGACAAGAGAGACAAGGACGGAGAGGCAGGACTAGCATTGGGGTAGGGAGCCCAAGCAAGAGGGTAGGAAGCCAAGCAGGGTAGGCATTTTATTGCTTCCCAAAAATAAACTGACTTTTGATGCCCCTTGGGGATTTCTGTATGTATGTCTCTCCTTCATCCGATGCCCCCATCACCTGTGGGAGAGGTGGGTGGCTGATGCTGGGGCCTGAGGTATTGGGAATGATACCAATCTGGTTGAATAGAGAAGGCAATCCTAGGCTGTGGTGAACCTAGGCCTGGGCAAGGATGTGTAGGAGGTGACTTTTAAGTTGGGGCTTAAAGGAAAAAAAAATTCAAAAAAAAAAAAAAGTTGGGGCTTAAAGGATGAATAAAGGTTCATCAGGTGAGGGTTTGGGAAGGAAAGCACATTCCATGTTGAGGGATTGCATGAGCAAGAGCCTGGAGGCTGATAGGCTGTGGAATGCCCAAGAGAGGGATGTGGCTGTTGGGCTCTGCCTGACGGGCCTCCTGTTGTCCCCCAGGTGGGTGCCAGAGTCTGCACACTGGCTTCTGACCCAGGGCCATGTGGAGGAGGCCCACAGGTACCTGCTCCACTGTTCCAGGCTGAATGGGTGGCCCATGGGTGAGGACAGCCTGAGCCAGGAGGTGAGGATGAATGTATGTGAGTGCATGCAAGTGCATGTGTGTGTGGGGGGGTGCGTGTGTGTATGCATGTGAGTGTGTGTGGCCTATGTCAAGCACCCTCTTCCTAGGACCCACTGTGTGTGTAGGAAAAGCTCCTGGTCCCCAGTAGAGTTATGAACTCTTCAGGATGTCCTATCTGGCTTTGGTGGGTCACATCCTTAACTCAGGGCCCACCCTACTCAGTTTGCAAGTGCATCCCTAACCCCTGCTGTTGAAGGAGTGGAGTAGAGACCCAGAGAGATCAGTGTGCCTAGCTAAGGCCCACAGTCAACTCTGATGTCACAAACTCTCCTTCTATCCCACCAGACCCTGAGCAAAGTAGTTACTTGAGAGCGAGTGGTACAAAGACTGTTGTACCTAGACTTGTTCCGGACCCCACGGCTCCATCACATCTCACTATGCTGTATAGTGATGTGGTGAGGAGCGGGGCTGGCCTGGGCTTGGTGGGGTGAATACTGGGGAGACAGAGGGGCAGACTTCAGGATGGTGCTGAGTGTGAGAGGAGGAGAGACAAGTGAACTCTAACTGTATAGGGCAGGACCACCAGCCTTTAGGGGCATGGGATTCTGGAAGGTCACAAGATGGAATGGGCATCAGAAGCAGGGCTCAGATTCAGGCTCTGCTTTCTTACTGTGAGACTTTGGATAGGTCACTTAATATTGAGCCCCAGAAAAAAAATTAAAAAAAAATATTGAGCCCCAGAGCCTCTTTTGGAAAATAGTGTTGCTGTGAAGATTAGGTAAAGATGCTTTGGCCATTGGCACGTGCTGCACAGGGGGGTGGGGGTGGTTATGGGGACAGGGAAGATTGTGGGCAATGGGCTCTGGAGGTGGGTGAGGTGGTCCCCCTAAAAGGTCAAAGCTAAGAAGAGAGGACAAGGAGTGGGGGGTGAAAAGGAGGGACCCTGAGTGGCACTGAGACCCCCTTCAGGTTTGGAGTGAATTTCTTCTATTATGGCCTGAGCCTGGATGTGTCAAGGCTGGGGCTGGATGTGTACCAAATGCAGCTGCTGTTCGGGGCTGTGGAGGTCCCCTCCAAGCTGTTGGTCGACCTGTTGGTGCGCCATGTGGGACACTGTCTAGTGCAAGCAGGAATGCTGCAGGGCACCGCCCTTGCTTTGGGCAGTAGTCTACTGGTGACCACTGGGAGCCCCACTCAGAGGCCCCGCCTCCTGGCCAAGAGCACAGCCCCTCCATCCCCTACTCAAAGCCCTCCACTAGGGGAACCTCCCATTCTGGGAGTTCTGGGTCTCGCACAAGGCCTGCTCACCACCTGAACCCCTTTTTTCCTCCAGAGATGTGGGCCTGGTGCACCACTTTGGTGGTGATATGGAAAAGTTTTTCTGAAGCTGCCTTCACCACTGCCTACCTGTTCACGTCGGAGTTGTACCCTACTGTGCTCAGGTGAGGGGAGCCTACGTCCCAGGCAATCCACCTGGGGGAGGGCTTGTAGTCACATCTTTTTACTAACACCCTACACACACACTGAAGCCCCGTTCCTCCCACCCATTCCTTACACACCTCGAATACAGAGCAAATCAGAGCCATCTGTGCTTAAGTCTGGGACAAGGAAGAGCATTTTATCTTTACTAAGTGACCCTGAGCAAGGTCACTCTTTTCTGGACCTCTTTTAATACAAAAAGCACCATCCGCCCTTTCCTTCCCATTCACCAAAGCCCAGGGGTTGTTTCTGGACTTAAGGCCTGGGGCTTCTAGAGATTTTATTCATTTTAGTAAGAGAGAGAGGGAGCGCGCGTGTGCGCGCAAGAGAGCCTGAGTACTCGAGTGGGGAGAGGGGCAGATGGGGAGGGAGAGGGAAGGGGAGAAAATCTCAAGCAGACTCCCACAGAGCTGAGGTGGGGCTTCATCCCACCACTCCCAGATCATGACCTGAGACAAAATCCAGTGGCCACACTCAACAGACTTAGCCACCCAGGCGCTTCCTGGTGCCCTTTCAGCTAGCTATTGGCAGGTGTGGAGAAGACTTGTAGGCAGGTGGGTGTGTTTAGAAAGCCTTGCTCCTCCTCTACCAACACAGCAGGGTCCTAGGAGCTGCTGGCCCTCCTCCTTCCACATTACCCTTTCCCCAGCCCCCTTCTGATATTTCTTTTCCTTCAGCAATACCTGATTGGTACTGTCAGAATGGGGGTCCCCTCCTCTGGTGAATGCTGGCTTGGGGGGTCGCTGGACAGATGAAAGGACAACCTGAAAGAAGTCATCTGGGGAGCAAAGGGTACCAGGACTTGCCATCCCAGGATGGGAGCCCTGTGAGGCATGACCCTAAGTAGATGTGAACATCTACTCCCCCCCATCCTCTCTCTGAACAGACAGGGATGGGGCTGACTGCACTGGTATGCCAGCTGTGGGGCTCTTTGGCCCCATTGGTGGCCTTAGTAGATGGGAGTATGGCTGTCACTGCCCAAGCTCACTTATGGGGGGATTGCCCTGCTGGCTTGCCTGCACTGCCCTCCTGCTACCAGAGACGAAGCAAGTACAGCTGCCAGAGACCATCCAGGACGTGGAGAGGAGGTATGTGCACAGAACTGCTTGTGTCTGTGTGAGCACGTGCATGTGAAAATGAATGCTCAAGTACCTGTTGCCTTAGGTAGGATTTAGAGATGTGTTTGCACATCGTGTATCTGGTGCTTATGTGCACATGTGCATGGGTGTATGACTGAGGTAGGTAAACTGCATGTGTAAAAGTATACATGAGTCCATGTGTGTGTGTACGTGGATATCCAAGGTTGTCCAGGAAGAGGTGGATGTGTGCACACTCAGGTATGCCTATAAATCAGAGATGTATACAAGCATGTGTGGGAGTCACTCATGGGAGTACATGTTTGTACACCAGCAATTGGGAAGAGGTGTAGGCCAGCCCTGTTAGGGCGGCCCGGGTGGTAGGACCATGAGCTAAAATCCACCATTTCTCAGGAATCCTTCCTCCCTAGTGCCCTGTCCAGCCTTCAGAAGGAAGAGATGCCCATGAAGCAGGTCCAGGATTGAGTGGTATCAGGGATTCCACAGAAGTTCTGCAGCAGGGGCTGGAAGACCAAAATGGCAGGCCCTGTGCCTGGGGCTAGGGGCATCAAGCCTTATCCCCAGGGCTGGGGTTGCCACCAATGCCCTCTCTCTGTGCTTATTCAGCCTTGACTATCTGGTCTCCAGCAACTAGGTGATTTCCTAGAATGCAGTGGGCTGCTGAATAATTCTGGTACCCTTTTCATGGTTGGGAAAATTCTGTAAATGAAGGTGCCCCATGGATTTGGGGCAGCAGTGAGTTGTGGGATGAGCCCTGGATAGGAAGCCAGTCTGACCCTGGGATTTGATCCCAACTTTTCCACTAATTTGCTGTGAGACTTTGGGCATGTGGCTTTCCCTCTCTGGGCTTCAGTCTGTTCATCTCTCAAATGGATAATGAAGCCTCTTAGCAGACCTCACCACAGGATCTATCTGTTGTCATGCTCAAACAAGATGCTGAATAATATGTTTCTTCTAGAGATGATGTTAAAGAAGGGACTGCTTTATGATGACTTCTGACACCAACAGGCTGGTGGGCATGCTGTCCACTGTGATGCTGCGTGCTGCCCAGGACCAGGGTACAAGGATAACAGAGCTCTTTGTTCCCAGGGCTGGCTCTCTACCTTCCAGGCACTTTGCAGGGTAATGCATCCCCCACCCCATACCTCCCATCCTCCAAACCATTGTTTAGGCCTCATGCCCAAAGAAGAGTTGAAGGCATGGGAGCCAACATTTTATTAGAGAAACCAGAATAAACACGTTTTTTAAATACCTTGAAGTTATAGAATTTGCTATGGAAAGGGACTGGGAAGGCAAGGAGGCTACTCTTTAAAAGGTGGTGGCCTGTGTCCCCCGGCCAGATAGGAATGGGAAAGGGAGGAATCAGCATAGTCTAGACTCCCTGGTCTACCATGGAGCCTAGGCCCAGGCCACCCGAAGCCCACCTTCCCCTGTGGGACTGGAGAATTCTGTAGCTCCCACTGGACCATGGAGGGGATGATATGAGGCCTGAGTTAAGAGTGACCTCTCCTGTGAGCATCTCATTTGGATTTTATCTCCACGGGGTCATAGATGTAGCAGCCCACATCACCAATGTTCACACCTGAGGGAGAGAGCCCCATCACCAAGGGCCTTGTGGCTGGGGGGTATTGGGCTAGGGATGAAGGGAATTGGGAGGGGTCTGGGGTATGTTTGACCACAGGGGAAGTTGTCCACACATCCCCACAGACCCACATTCCATACTTTAGGCCCACTGTCTGGGGTGGGGCTGCCCACCTTTGGGGCCAAAGAGGTAGCCATAGCAGGGGATGTGGCAGTAGGGGACGCCATCATGCTGAGACATAGAGAGAAAGAGAGCCACCTCAGGTTGGCTCTCTCTTCCCATCTCCAACCTCCCTCCTCCCAACATAAGCACCCATCCCTGCCCTGTTCACCTCAGCATGACTCCCAGCAGTCAGGGTCTTCCGGCAGCGCTGGCACCTTAGACAGGGTCGGTGCCAATTTCTGCCCAAAGACATCACCTTCTCAGCTGGTGGTGGAGAGAATTGGTAATTCTAGGGGCAGTGCAAGGAGACCTACCTGCTTTGTACCATCTCTATCTACACTTCCACGGCCATCCTTTGCCCCCTCCCCAAGCTTTCCATTGTCACTTACCAAAATAGACAGGTTCCTCACAGCCAGGGCACAGTGAAGTCTCCCCAGTGAATGTCTTCATGTGGAGAGGGCCTTTAAGGGGAAGAGACCCTGGCTAGGGCTAAGGTGGGAGCCAGGCCTAAGCAGGGCCCAGCAGCACCAGCCTGCACATGGCTTCTTCCAAAAGCCATGCTCACCCCAGAGCCCCCCACCCAGGTGGCCTTGAGTCTGCTTTCTTGGGCAGAGCTGAGTCTTCTATGACCCCACTTCCTGCCCCTCCCTATCTACAGAAGGGACCCCCTGCTTCCTTCTCCTACCAGGGGCTCAGGTGCCCACCTGCTCAACCCTGTCAGCAACTCAATCCTCAGGAAACCTGAGCTGATACACGAGCTGGTCGGGGCATGGGTGTCAGGTGTTGGGGAGCATGGTGTCACTGCCCACTCTAGGAGATGGGAGGAAGGAACAGGGAAAGGGGAGAAGTGGAAGAATATGAGGAGCTGGCCCTGTCTCAATGACTTCTCACTCCTGGGTCATTCTTTCCATGGCCTTAGCCTGGGAGAGGCCTGAATTCCAGGCCAGTTTTGCCTCTGACTAGCTGTGTCTGCACAAGGCCACTGGCTCTCTCCAAACCTTGGTTTCCTCACCTGTAAAACGGGGGTGATGTCACCTACCTCTTAATTTACCTCTTAACTCAGCAATTGACAGGAGGGAACCCCCAAAAAGGGCCATGAAAAAGGGAAGACTTTGCCACAAAGTTGTAGGAATGTGAGGCAGAGGACTAGGTGGGAGACTGCCACCTGGTCCTACCCTGTTCCAGCCTGAGGATGAGGGGTAGCTGGGGCCCAACTTCACTTACTTTTCTTGCCCTGGGGGAGGCCAGTCCTGGGCCTGGGGGGGCTGAAACTGCTGGGGCTGAGGGGAGTGGTACTGGCCGGGGTGAGAGTGGGAGAGTTGTAGAGGTAGGAACCCACACCACCAATGTTCACCCCTGCAGAGAAAACAGGGGTGGTCAGCCTCTCTCCACCTCCCAGTCACAAAGGTTCTGCTATCCTCTGGCCTCTTCTAGGGTGGTACTTACCCCTGGGTCCGAAGAGAGCCCCATAGCATGGCTTGTGGCAATATGGCCTCCCGTTGTGCTAGGCACAAGCAGAGGAAAGAGGGCTGCTCAGGGCTAAAGGAGGGGAGGCTCTCCTATGTCCCACAGGCCTTCCCTCAAGACAGACTACCAGATGTGTCTATCCATTGGCTTGGGCTGGTGGGGCTGGGAGGGGTGGAGGGTGAGCTGGCATGTCACAATTGCCACTGTGGTCAGGAGAAAGGGCAAGAGCAGGTCAGAAAACAGCACCGCTTCCCTCCCCTCCCCAACAAAAAGCATGGGGTCCACCAGCACAACTCTGGCATCCCAAATCCTGGCTGCTGTGGGGCTCTCCGGGTAGGTGATTTCGATATTTAACTGCTGAGGTTGTCTTTGGTGAGCCTCCTGAGCAGAAACTGAGGGCTAGTACTTAGGGAATAATGACAGACATAGAGCTGTGTGCCCTGGCCAGGCCTCACCTCTGCATGCCCTCCTGGGGACAGGATGCTGTGGCAGCGCTCACATTTCAGGCAGAAGCGGTGCCAGTTCTTGCCCAGGGAGCTCACCTTCTCCGCTGTGGGGAACAAGGTGGAACCGGGCTGTGGGAAGCCAGGCCAAGCAGTGGGCGCCCCCTTTTCCCTCCTCAGCCCCGCCTGCCTCCTAGAGAGGATGGGGAGTATCTGGGAGAGGTCAACTCCAACCGGCCCCAGCGCCCTGGGCCCCAGAGGTGGAAAGGGGGTCTGAGATCACACCGTCGCCAGTTTCTCGCGTCCTCAGGGAGCACCCCGGCTCACACTCGTCCCATCTCCCCCTCCTCAGCCCGGGCCTCACCGAAGAAAACGGGTTGCTGGCAACGCGGGCAGGTCCAGCTCATGGCTCTGCACAGGGCAGCCGGCGCTACACACAGAAGGAAGCACCGAGGTGGGCTCGGTTCCCGCCCCCTTCGCTGGCTCCACCCATAGCTCCGCTGTGAGCTTCATTGGGCTGAATTCTGCAGCTCCTCCGCGCCTATTGGCTGTCAGAAATTTAGAACTCCTGGGAGAGGAAGGCGACTTTGCAGTTCTTTCCAAAATCTAAAGCCTCTGACCCGTGTAGAGAGAGAGGAACTTAAAGCCAGACGGGAAAGGAAGAGAGCAATGAAGACACCTGTAAGGATGGCACTAGATTCTGGCTTGGTACGGAGAGGAAAAGTGTCCAGAGTGCAGACGTCAAGAAACACTTGTAATTCCCTCAAAGCGAGGGGTCAGGCATTTTTTGAAACGGCTAAATTCTGCCCTGACAGTCTCACAGGTAGTTAAGAGCAAAGGAATCTGGAGAGCATCTCTGCCACTTACTCTCTGGCTTCAGGCGAATTACTTAACCTCCCTCTGCACCCATTTGTACAGTGAGTATGATGATTAGTCTCTACCTCATAGGATTGTTGTGGGAACTGAGTAATAAATGCAAAGTGCCCAAACAGTGCTTGGCACATAACTGCTATAAAGGCGATACCTATCATTATGATGGATCCCATAATGAACTCAAGACTCTTTGGAAGCCTCAAAAGGTGGGCTGGATACAATGGTTTTCTTATGAAATTACAATGCTTATTAAATTTAAACGCATAAAAAATAAATTTAAACGCATAATTCAGACACCAATTACATATTCCTAATTTAGTTTTGAGGTGTTTTAATATTTGTCAAAAGTAGCTCAGCAGTGCTTCAAAGGACACTTCAAGAAAACCCACAGAGAATGGGAGAAAATATTTGCAAACATGGTATTTGATAAGGACCTAATAATCAAAATATATAAAGGAGTGACAGCTCAACAATAAAAAGACAACCCAATTTAAAAACAGGCAAAGAATTTGAATAGACATTTTTCTAAAGAAGATATACAAATGGCCAATAATCATATGAAAAGATGCTCAACATTTGTCATTAGAGAAAGGAAAATCAGGATCACAATGAGATACATCTTAGACCTATTAGAATGGCTATAATTTTAAAAAAATGAGTAATAACAAGTGTTAGGGAGGATGTGTTGTTGATCAGAATGTAAAATAGTGCAGCCATCTGCAAAAACATTGTGGTAATTCCTCAAAATATTAAAGAGAGTTACCATATGATCCAGCAATCACATTGCTAGGCATATACCCAAGAGAAATGAAAACATATGTCCACACAAAAACTTGTACGTGAACGTTCATAGTACTGGTATTCACTCCAGCGAAAACTCCATCAACTGATAAATGGATGAACAGTGTGGCCTATCTGTGGTAGAACAGAATTCAGTCATAAAAACAATGAAGTACTGATGCACGCTACAACATAGATGAGCCAATAAAACATGCTAAATGAAAGAAGCCAGACACATAATACCACATATTGTATGATTCCATTTACATGAAATGTCCAGAATAGGGAAATCCATAAAGACAGAAAAGTGGATTAGTGGTTTCTGGGGGTTTGAAGGAGGGGCAATTAGGCATATCTGCTAATGGGGTATGAGGTCTCTCTTTATGGGGAGATAAAAATGGTCTGGAATTAGATAGTGGTGATAGTTGCACAACCACACCAATATACTACAAATCAAGGAATTGTAAAACTTAGAAGGGTGAACTTTATATATGAATAATTTCTCAATAATAAAAATAATAGTAATAGAAATAATGCCTGAAGAGAACTTTTTTTTTTTAAAGGTAGCTCAGGAAATGAGGGGCAGGAGAGAGAGCTGATTACTGTGTGCCAGTGCCCCAGCGGAGAAAACAATCCCTCGAAATATTAGGTGGTGAAATGAAGAGTTTTCTGGAGTAAGTTCCCCTTTGGTATGTCAGCTCAGAAAAAGCTCAAGGGGGCAGGTGTGCTAACTTAGCCTTCATCTGTGGTGCTGTGTTCTGCTCAGTGAAAGGAGTCCTATTTGTGTCTCAGGAGTCTGAGACCCTCTCGGACTTCAGTTCTCTCAGTGGGTAATGGGATAGGACTGGTGTCTATGAATTTCCACTCAACATTCCTGTTTCCTCACTTGTCTCCATCAGTACTTTTTCCTTATAACACTTGTTTTATCCTCCTTGTTGACTTCTAAAGGTGGAAAGCTGCACACCATGAAATAAACTTTTCTATACTTTATTATTCATTTCTTGTTTTGGGAACTATTTCAAGATCCTTAGTTTTATAACTGTTTCTTGATGGGCTTCTTCTTTAACAAACTTGAAAAATATTAGTCTTAGTCTCCCTTGATATTTTACTCGTGTTTCTGCCTCTCTCATTTGTTTCTTCTTAAATCAGACAGCTTGAGGTTCACTGTTTTTTGCTCTCTATGGTTCTTATGGAGAAGGTCCCATTTCAGGAGGTTGGGAAGACTTCATTGTAGTTATTCATAGGTATTGTATTTATTCTCCTTTAGGAAGGTTAGCTTCATTTGCCCAAGGAACTATCCTTAGAATTTTCTGGAGCACATCAATCCTTTCCCAAGGCTCTGTAGCTTTCTGTGTTGGATCACCTTGGACACATACCTCAGCCTCCTAGAGAGGTCATTTTTACCATTGCATCCAGCACAGAGCCCCACACAAAGAAACATGCAGTGGAGTGTGAGCATCATGATGCTTTCACACAACTTGCATTAAGTCAGTGGGGCAAGTGCTTTACTGCTCCCGTTTTCTGCGGCCTTCCTGTATTGTATGGCCATGACAAACACAGTATGCTTTGTCTCTTCTATTTCAGGGCTTAAAAAAGACTAGTTAAGCCTCCTCCTTTCCAAATATTGGCCATCCATTTCCAAGTACAGCAAATCACAGTATTCTACTCTTCTTCCTTGCCTGGCTTCTGTTATTCTGTCTCTAAAAAAAAGCTTTGTAATGAATGCTAACAGAGAAAATGAACACTTCTTGTAGGAATGCACTTGTAGTTACTGACAGTGGCTGTTTTGAATATTTTGTGTGACTAAAGCCTCTACAGTGATATTTTAACAAATACCACAAATGGCTAAGTCCAGTTGAGTACAGGTATTACCTGACCAGTTGTCAGGGTAGAGTTTGTGTCATCTAAGAGGCAGGTCCCTCTTTCATAAAAAGATGATTGTTCTGTTGGTGCCCCACCAATACCCCCTTTTTCCTGCACAGACCTGTCACAGTATCTGTATAATTGTGTTATGCTTATTTACTTGTAGGCTTTTTTTCAACTGACAGGACTGATTGAGATGTATCCGTGTATAATAGCACCAAGTATAGTGTGGGTGCACAGTGAATGATAGTTATTATTATTATTATTATTCTTAAAGACTTTTATTTTTAGGTAATCTCTATGCCCAACGTGGGGCTCAAACTCACAACCGTGAGATCAAGAGTCGCATGCTCCACTGACTGAGCCAGCCGGGTACCCCTATTTTTATTAACATCTGTCACTAACACTTTTTACTTTATGTTTTTAAGTTCTGTTGTTAGGTACATTTATGTTTTTGGACTGTTGTAGTTTCTGATGAATTGACGCTTTTATTGTTGAAGCCAAAGAAACAAGCTTTTCAACTTGAGGTGAGTGGTGGTGAAGATAATGGCAGCAAACACTTGAGGGCTCTCACATAGATGAGGCATTGGGGGCACTACTGAGACCCCTGAATAGAGGTCACAGAGAAGCAGACTGGGATTGTTCAAGAAAGGAACCTTCTTAGAGAGCCCAAACGTGGGCTGCTTCAGATAGTAGTGAGATTCCTATCTCTGGATGTGATAAATTACACTGGACAACAAACCAACTGATCAGCAGTGTTGCAGAAGGGATGCAAACATCATACACAGACAGATCTTTGAGGTTTCCTCACAGTTTGGCAGTATGTGATTCTGCGATTCCATTCCGAAAGAAGAGTTTCAAATTTGTGTTAGCAAGAGAACACTGTTAAAATAGTGACAGCAACCACCTATGGAGTACCAGTCAGAGGCACAGAACTTGTTATTTCTGATCCTACAACAATCTGGAGGTGTTTAAATGCTACATTAACAATTGTGCATAATAGGAAAGTGGCTTGGAGAGGTTAAGAGATTTGTTCAAATCATACAGACCCAAGTCTCTCAAGCTCATACTCTTTCCACTCCCTGCTCCTAAGTATAGTTTCTGCTAAGCTGCCCATGTGTTTCAGTCTGAAACCATACTATACTTGTCTGCACAGCACCTCTGTACCTAAAGGTAAGAGGACCTCTCCAGGTAAATAATGGGTGGCAAGAAACAGGGGAATGTCATTAAAACTTTTCCATGGCGGGATCCCTGGGTGGCGCAGCGGTTTAGCGCCTGCCTTTGGCCCAGGGCGCCATCCTGGAGACCCGGGATCGAATCCCACGTCGGGCTTCCGGTGCATGGAGCCTGCTTCTCCTTCTCCCTCTGCCTATGTCTCTGCCTCTCTCTCTCTCTCTCTCTCTCTCTCTCTCTCTCTGACTATCATAAATAAATAAAAATAAAAAAACAACAACAAGGGATCCCTGGGTGGCGCAGCGGTTTGGCGCCTGCCTTTGGCCCAGGGCGCGATCCTGGAGACCCGGGATCGAATCCCACGTCGGGCTCCCGGTGCATGGAGCCTGTATCTCCCTCTGCCTGTGTCTCTGCCTCTCTCTCTCTCTCACTGTGTGCCTATCATAAATAAATAAAAAAAAAATTAAAAAAAAAAAAAAACAACAACAAAATATTAAAAAAAAAAAAAAAACTTTTCCATGGCTTCTTAGTGCCCTCAGGGTCAAGTTTTTAACTTGACCTTAAGGCCCTCCACCTTTCCAGTTCTAGCCATTTCTCCTGTTTCTCCCTCCAACCACACTAAATGAGCTGCTTAAACCTGCCAAATCCTTTCCTGCCTCAGGACCTTTGCAAATGCTATCAATCCCCTTTCTGGGAACTTACTTCCTCAATATCTTCATCTCACTAATTCCTGCCTAACTTCACATCCCTCTCCCCTACTCAGTCCCAGGGTACTGGACCCAGTCACTCTCTCCTATAGCATCCTGTGCTGGAGGGCCAACGGGGTATAATCAAGGACAACTGTGTTTTCCCTACTTGAGAGCTCAAAATGGGGGGGGGGGGAAGGCAAATGGAGACTCATGATAAAAGCTACATGTAGCTTAGTGGGAGAGTAAAATAGGTCAACTTCCTGCCCACCCCACTACCCCCCACCACCCACTGAATCTAGGCTTTGCCTATCCCATTAGTCTGTGAGCTCCATGAGGCCAGGGACCAGGAATGCTTTGCCAAACACTGTGTATGTTTCCAATGCCTTGCTTAATCTCTGATACAGTGCTCAATACATATTTATTGGTGAAAGAATGTTAAATGTTATATACAAGTCTCCCTCAAATGTGAGGAGATGAGGGCTAGTCAGGAGATGTGGAGTTAGGAGGGGACTGGGTAGGAGTTGAAAGTTTTGTTACAACAAAAGCCCTAGA